ATGCCTATAATCCCAGCACCTGCAAGGGTGACACAGGAGGACTGGCATGATGAGTTCAAGGTTCAAGGCTAGCCTAGACTATAAAATGAAACATTGAAAAAACCCCAAAAAACAAAGACAAAAATATTATAATTTTTTTTCTTTCATTCGGTATTTTTTGGTGTTTGAGACCAAATAATAATTAAAATTTTTATATAAGCTATGTAAGACCACCTTTTCCGTTTAGATAATTTTGAATTTTTCCACTGCAGTGAATACCTTGTCCATACAGGTTCGCTGAGAACACTGCTCAAACTGACTTTATTATAATAGGGAATGAGTTTAGAGAAATATTTACATATGAAGGTGACTAGTCATTTTATTTTTTGGTGCTATGGACTGAACCCTGAGCCCTGCAGATGCCAGCTATCCATTCTATCACCGCGTGACACACTTAGCTCCAGATACTATATAAAATCAGTTGCAGAGACACAGCATTACTCAAGTAACTTCTCCACAGATGACAGGAACGATGCTTCAAACTCCTGATCAGAGAATCTGCTTACAGACGCACGAGCATTTTTTCTGATTTGCAGTCTCTTCTCTGCTGACAGGGAAAGGATGTGGGCCATGGTCTCGGCATAGTCTTCTTCACTTTCAGCCAGAAATCCAGTTATCTCTCCTTCGTGAGGAACGACGATGTCAAGCTTTGGGCCCCCTGAATTGTGTGCGAGGATGACTGTACCAGCTGCCATACACTCCACCACTCCTGAGAAGCGAGGAAAAAATGCATGCAGTTCTTTACAGTTTTCAGTGTGTTCATGAGAATAAGGATGAGCAGAAATACTCCAATTTTTTTGAGATTCATGAGAAATTTAAAGACATATATGCCTATAAATTCATTTGCTCAATTTTATGGTACAAATAGAATGATTTTCAGTTTTCAGTTTCCAAAGCTTCAAAATAGGGCTGTTTTATTCTTATTTAAAACAGACAAGGAGATGGAAGTCACATTTTTTTTTTTTTTTTTTTTTTGCGGAGATGGGGATTGAACCACAAAATTTTAAGAGTTCAAATTATGTACATTAACAGAAACAAGGGAAAATGCACATCAAGTTAATGAAGATGTTGCTGGTGCTTCTGTTTCTGCCTCCCTTTCTGCTATGCCCAACAGCAGGGATGAGCAAAATGGAAGCACCTGAAGGAGGGTATCGATATCCTAGCTGGCCTTGCTTATCTGTGTTTCTGGGAAAATTATGCCCTTTAAAAGATGACCAAGTCATCAATTCTCTGAAGAACAGTATGGAGTTGACATCCTAGGTGTATTGGAGAGAAGTTGGAAGTATTCTTTTTATTAATTTTTTTTTTTTTTTAAATTTGACACAGAGTCCTGCTATGCAGCTCAGACTCATAGTGATTCTCCTGTTTCAGCCTCCCCAGCTCTGGGATTACAGGCATGTGCAACCATGCCTGGTTTCAGGGCCAGCATGGATAGAACTCAGGTACTTGAGCTTGCGAGGCAGGCACTTAGACCTCCAAGCTATCTCTCCAGCCTACATTCTCTTTCTTTGAATAGTGGTAAAATCCCAACAGAGGTATTCAGTGCCTTACATTCTGTGTAAGGCTGGCAAGCATCCCTTGTTACCTTTTCAGAGGCCTCCATCAAATCAGTTATTCCTCTTCCTTCCCTGGGGGCTGGGGAGATGGCTCAGTGGAGTAAGTGCTTCCCTGGCAAGTGCAAGGGCCTGAGTTCAATCCCTGGTTCCGCCAAAAAAACCCCAAAGAAACCAAGATCCTGTCTTTCTGGGGAGATAGCTCAGTAGAATAGGTGCTTCCCTGGCAAGCACAAGGGCCTGAGTTCAACCCCCAGTTCTGCCAAAAAAAAAATTAGGGTGGCCTCTTCCCTCCCTGATCTACTACCTCTTTCTTATCAGTATTCAAGATAGGAGAGGGGTCCTAAGAACGAAGGGCACACACAGACACACCCTCCTAGAGTTACACATCCACCCAGCCATCCTCTCTTCTTGCACTTCCCCTTCACAGACACACTTCCTCACAGTGTGGCTGACACTCACCCCACTTGCTCCCTTAACTCAATGTTTGACTTACCAGTTTGACTTTTGCTGTCCCTTCTCCCTTGAAACTTGCTCATGCCAGGTCCAGGTCACCAATGACCTCCCTATCTTCCCTAGAATGTGGGCTGTTGGGAATTGCTTTTCTCCATTTCCTAAAATACTGTCTTCCATGGACTCCAAAGTACTACAGTCTGCACATTTTCCCTAGCCTTCCATTCTCTTCTTTTATCCACATCTGTAGGGCTTTACTACTTGGGCAAGCACAACTTTTCACTTCCTATTTCTAGGTCAGGTCCTTCTCATCAATGGTAGATGCATAGTGACAATGACCTACTTACTAGGCTCAAGTATTTATGTGCCCTACTGTGAGCTCAAACCCCCTTCTCATTGAGACTTCTCCACTGACTACCCTTGCTTTTGCATTCCCTGTTTTGGTGAAAGCCAACCTTTTGCCTGGTGGTTCAAACCAAAAGCCCTGGGTGGTCATTCTGACTCCACTGCCCTCATTTGATATATGCAACCATCAGATGGCTGAGGTAGAACCTTCTGAGGCAGGTTCTGCATTACCTCAGAATCTGTCTTTAACACCCTTACCTACCAAGTTCAGACCACCAGCATCCCACTGACTCAATGCTGCAGCCCAATTCAGCTTCCAGTCTTCTGGTCTGCCCTCCCTGCTTTTTTCCACTGCACTCCCCACATTGCAGCTAGAGTGGATTTTAGGAAACAGAAAGCTTTTAAACATAATACTAAAACTTCTTCCATCTTCCTCCATTGACTCTTCAACCTTTGGGCTGCAGCCACTTGAACTAGTACTTTGAAGTAGCCTGCTGATGTCCCTGCTGTCACTCCAATCAGAGTGCTGTTCCCTCTGCTGGGCATTATCCCTTCATGGCTGGCCAACTTTTTTTTAAATTTTATTTATTTATTTGTGTGTGTGTGTGTGTGTGTGTGTGTGGCCAGCTCAGCCCACCAGGGGCGGGGCTGGCTGGCATGTGGTGCTGGGGGATTGAACCGCGGTCCCTGTGCTTTGCTAAGCTTGTTCTAAGTAGGTGCTTTAGACCACCGAGCCATCTCACCAGCCCCCTAAGGGTTTTTTTTTTTTTTTCTCCAAATGCCCTCAGGGGTGGTTTGGCTGGCTGGAGTGTTGTGGGGATCAAACTACAGCAACCTGAGGCTGACAGCTTTGTGGAAGCAGCCACTTAAAGAACTGAGCTACGGCCAGGCCCCCTGGCCAACTTTTAATTATTGTTTAGGCCCAGCTTGAGTGTCACGCAACACATCAGTGGGTAACAGTTACCTGCTCCACAAGTGTGTTAGTGTTCCCCAGCTGTTTCTTGTCACTCCTGCTTCTCCACCAAGCTCCTGGCACACAGCACAGCAAATGTCTATAGAGTGAGCTGCTGCCACCCAAGGGCTAGAAGCTTCTGAAGGGAAAAACATCTCCACCATAACCCCAGCACCCACCGAGTGTCTGGCCCATGGTGGAAGTATTAGTGGAAGGAAGCACAAAGTTCAGACCCCAGGCTGAAAGTGGGTCAACAAGTTCCTGCTGAATCTTAGTATTATGTTTTCCTCTAAAAACTAGCAGAGTAAGGCATAAAAAAGGGCATTTGATAAATACTACTGAACCAAATTAGACAGAAAGCAGTACTTGATTTTTATTTATTTTTTTGTACCAGAAAACAAACTCAATGCCTTGTGCTTGCTAGGCAGGTGCTTATGCCACTGAGCTACATACCCAGCCATGAGTAATGATTTTTATACTACATCATGTGTTAAGTATGAAGTTGGACTGCAGAGAGCAATTTGTGTTAAAATGAACAAAAGAAACATTAAGGGCCAAGGTTTAAATTGAACATTTATAACAAGAGGAGGCCAACACTGAAATGCAGAACCAATAAAAGACTAAAAAAATCACTTGTGAGAAGCCCATCTGGGGACAGGGGCCCTCAGCTTCTGATGCACAACAGAATGATCTGAGCATCCAGCCCCATGTAGAGGTTTCAAGTGGATGTTCAATAGGATGAGGGCAGGGCCTGGGAGTGAAAACAGCAGTTATGGGCAGTGGTGATCTGGGTCAGAGAATCTGGGCTCTACCACATCCTGTGTGACTAAATTTGAGTAGATGTTAAACTTCTCTGTGCCTGAGTTTCTGTACCTATAAAAAGTAATAAAAAATATCTTCACAGTAGTAAACTTGATAATGTTGGTTAAAAACAAAAAATAATGTAATAGTAAGTGGTCAGGATTTTTTTTTTTTTTTTTTTGTGGGGAGCTGGGGATTGAACACAGGATTTCACAGATGTTAGGAAAGCACTCTACAATAAGATACATCCTTAGTTGTTATAATTAACTACTGTCTTACAGGGTCTCAAATGAGCAAAGGATATTTGGTGGACTAGGGAAAGAGAATTAGGACTTGATGCAGATTTCTAGACTATTATCATTTTACCAAAAATTAAAAAAAGAAAAAAAAAAAAAAAAGGTCATGAATACATCTTGTAGCACCACATAAATTGTTTAAAAGAAAAACTCACAGGGACTGGGGAGATAGCTCAGTGGCATAAGCACCTGCCTGGCAAGTGCAAGGACCCAAGTTTGATCCCCAGTACCGCATGGTGGCACAAGCCTGTAAGCCCAGCACTGGGGAGGCTGAGACAGGAGGATCAGTATGAATCCAAACTGGATAGCAAGACCCTGTATCAAAAAAAGATTAAAAAAAAAAAAAAAAAAGAAGAAAAACTCACCAATCCCAAAGTGCTCGTTCCACATGGTATGCAGACCAATTACTGCTTCAGACAAATATTTCTTTAACTCATCAAATGGAATGTTTATTTTAAATTCCACATCTTCTTGAACTTTTAAGTCTTCACATAGTCTTCTCAGTTGGTTTACTCTAAGTTCATCATCTTTGTTACGACAGCCTCCAATAAGGACAAGCCTAGGTGAGGGTGACTCGGACACCTTCTTATTTAGCAATTTAGCAAAGGCTCTGATCTGCAAAGGGTGATTCTTTTCAGGCCTGAACTGGCCAATGGAAACTAATAAATGTCCTGGTTTCGTCTTTTTCTCATGTAAAGGAATGTCCAGAAATGTCTGTACATCACAAGGTGGATAAACAATGCTTGTGCAATTCCCAACCTTCCACAGTGAGAGAATATGGTTTAAGGTCCAAGAAGAATTGACCATGACAACATCACTGCATGAACCAACAAGTCCATAAATAGAAGCAAATAAATAGTAGTAGATGAGCTTTACTTTGCTGAGAAAAGGATTTCTGGTTATGAAGCCTGCGTTATTAAACCTAGCATTTCGATTCTTCACTACAGAGAGCATGTCAGTGCTGATAGTGGGATAATGAACATAGCTTCCGACTCGGCAACCCCCTAGGTACTTAAACAAAGGGAGTGTGAAAGCATATCCCATTGAATCAATGTAAACATCAGGAACATACTGCATCAGTGCTTCCCAACCAAGGAAGATGGATCCTAGGCTTTGGCCCAGCAGTGTGAAGCGAGGGTAGTGTGAGTCTTCCACAAGGTAGCGTTTCCTTAAGAAAACAAACTGCACTGGGTGGATTAATCTGATGTTAAATCTTCTGAAAGCACCTTCTAGTATCTGTTGACCACTGACATTAATGTCACCAGTATAAACAACATAAACTGCTTCAGGATACCTGTAACAGAATATAATTATAAATGTCATTAGATCATAATCAAGCAAAATGTTGCAAGTAGTTTTCTTACAATCATAAAGCTGCATATTTTTATACTAGAAAATAATTTACTTTTGCTTCTTGACACAGTCTGTTAAGTCTAGGCTAGCCTCGAACTCACTGCAACCCTCCTGCCTCAGTCTCCTAAGTGCTGGGATTACAGGTGCATGATACCATGCCCAGATAGAAAAAAAAAATTTTTTTAACTGCTTTTTCATCATTACATTTGAATTACTGACCTTCTGTTTCATGAGTTTTCTACTGTCCAAGAACTAAAAAGTCCTACAAATGAAACCATGGCCTGAATGTTGGTTTCTTCTCAAAATGTGTGTTGAAAGCCCATTCCCAACATGGGGTATTACGAGGGGCGCCTCAAAGTAAGGATAATACATTTATTCATTGAGCTTGCTAAGCACATGCTTCACTGCTGAGCTACACCCTCAGGACCCTGGAGCTGTCATAAAAAAGAAGCCCATGCTGCTTCCATCTCATGAGTACACAGCAAGGAGCAACCTATGAAGCACAGTGAGTCCTCACCAGACACCAAATCTGCAGTTGCTCTGAGCCTACCTACTTTCCAGTCTCCAGAACTGTGAGGAACAAACTTCAGTTGTTTATAAATTACCCAGTCTAAGGTATTTTGTTACAGCAGTTGGATCAGACTAAGATTTTGTCTTCTGGTATTTTGCTATTTCTTCCATTATGGACTGAAGATGGAAAAGATACCAACAAAAATGCTAATTTGTCAATGAGAAGTTTTTATTTCTTGGAAATATTCAAACATTTTATTTTAAAGGGCAAGGTATGTAAGTCAGTATTGAGTACTTGCCTAACATGCATGAGGCCCTGAATTCAATCCCAAGCACTGCAAAAATAAAAAAAAAAATGTTATTTTAACACTCTTAGTATAGAAGTGTTCATAAAATACAAATAAAGTACTCATAAACAAGAACCAAAATCCACTAAAGGGGTCTTCTATGTAGAATAATAATTCTAAAGCAGTGCTCAGAGTTTTATCTGAGAAATGCAATCATGTTTTAAAAGCTAGACCTTTTTCTTTGAGACAAGGTCTCACTATGCTGCCCAAAGTAGTCTTGAACTGCTACACTCAAATGATCCTCTCACTTAGCTTCTGGAGGTCCTGCAACTACACAACCATATCAGGCCTAAAATTCCAAAAGATCTTATGAGGCAGGTGGGCATATGAGGAGTAATTTTTTTATTAAAGAACAGTCAAAAAAGGGAATTCCTGGCTATGAATAAGGTAAAAGAGAAAGACAAATTTCTGGGTAATGATTTTTTGTTAATGGCAACAGTATAACAAATTAACAAAGACCCATACATACTTTTTCTGCAGGGCCCTCAAGGCACACCATAAAACTCTTTCTCCTCCTCCACCAGCATTGCAGTATGGATGAAAAAAGGCTATCACCCTTTGAATCTTCCCATTTTTGCTGGCAGACATTAACCTTTTCTTTCTCTGTAGCAGCCGTCTGATCCCCCAAAGGGCAATGGCCAAATATACACATAAAATTCCACACACAATGAGCCCAGGGAAGAATAATGAATAAAAAAACCTGAAATTAGACAGAAAAGGTAAAAAATCAATGTGATGCTCATTTTAAAAATACTATAAAGGCAACTTTAAAATATTCACTTTATATATTAGTGGAAATGATAATTTTTGTAGTTTGTAAGCATGCCAAGAAAATACTTATTATTTTATATAGAATATTACAGAGATATGTACTCAGCCCTGTAATTGGAATGAACCCGCTTTAAATCCTTTAATCAGCCAAGACATAGTGACAAAAAATAACAATATAGGTTTCTTTCCAGGTCCTATATTAGAAAGTCCATTTTCAATCCTTTAACAAGAGATATGTATTCAAGGATTAAGATTCAACAAAAGCAGGAATTTCATCTTTTATCAGAATTATTTTTATTTCTTCTTTCTTTCTTTCTTTCTTTCTTTCTTTCTTTCTTTCTTTCTTTCTTTCTTTTTGTGGTACCAGGGACTGAACTCAGGACCACATGCTTGTTAGGCAGGCACTTATTCTACTGAGCTATCTCCTTGGCCTATTTTCATTTCTTTTTATTTTGGGACAGGGTCTTGCTATGTGGTCCAGGTTGGACTTCAACTTGTTTTGTTTGTTTGTAGCGGAACTGGGGATTGAACTCAGGCCCTTGAGCTTGCCAGGTAAGTGCTTATTCTACTGAGCCATCTCCCCGGCCTAGACTTCAACTTGTGATGATCCTTCTGCCTCAGCCTGGCACATCACAGACGCTCTTGGTTAAAACTGGCTTTAGCAAGTGAATGGTGGTGAAAAACACAATGCCAGCTTGGCATCATCACTGTCCTCTGCACTAAGAACTATTATCCATGCTACTTTCCTTCCATTAGTATAAATGTGAGCCTAGGGAAAAAGGCAAATGCTACCGTCACATTATGAGAGTTTTGATCCTGAATATTCACCGAAAGTCTTGAACCTGCATGGGTCAATGGACCATACTTGGAAAACCATCTTCCTTGTTTTGGAGTTCTGTATTTTTTAATTGTTTTTTGTTATGTTTTTGCCTTTGTGTTTTTCTCTTTTTTAAAATTAAAAAAAAGAAAAACACCATCTTAAAAAGTAAACAATTTGATGAAAGATTTCTAATTTATTTAAAATTTGGAAGATATTAATTCATAAAAAGCAACTGTATACCAATAGGGCAGTTTGCTTTCTTAGGCCAAGCTTTCAAAAGGATGCTTTATTTAAAGAGCAGATGACTCAGCATCTAAAGATTTTTATAACAATTCCTTTAAATGATTTCAGTGGGTAAATTCAGTGTATATAACTTAAAATTATAAAAACTGCCACTTTAATGACTAAAGTTAAACCAGCCTTTTTAGTCTAGTTAGTTTCAAAGACACACAGATCCTATATATTTATTAAATACTCTATAGTACCTGCATATTGTAATTATCCAACAATTTGTTTAAGCATAAATGAAATACATAATATTGTTTATCTGTTAACATTGTTTAAACCAAAGGCTTTTATTTATTTTTTTTTTGCGGAACCACGGATTGAACTCTGGCCCGTGAGCTTGTCAGGCAAGCGCTTATTCTACTGAGCCATCTCCCTGGCCCCTCCAAAGGCTTTTAAAAGGTAACTATTAAGCAGGATCTCAAGGACTAACTAATCAAGAGAGGGAAAGGAGAAGAGCTAGGAAACACGACAATGTCAAGCCATACAGTTATATGTAAAAGATGAGCAAGGCAATGATCCTGAGAATCTTCAGAAGATTTTT